TCGATGAAGTTGAGGTGTAGAGTTGACTGACATTCTATACTCTGTTCTATGATGATGCATAGCATAGCGTTGCAATTTGGTCCGCACACGATTTGTACTTCCTGAATCCAGCCAACCAGCCTGTTCCCGTCATAGTTTGGAATCCAGTGTATCCTTCAGTCTCTTCAGGATGATGTGGCTTAATATTTTGCTTGCTCTGGGTGGACAGGAGAATGATTCTGCTCCACCTCTTGCAAACACTGAGGTCTCCTTTCTTCGAGAGTTTGACATAGTAACCCTTCTCCCAATCAATGGGCACCTACCTTCCCTTCCTTCCACACCTTCTGCAATAGTGGTGTGGTGTGAGCATGTCCGTTGCTGTTGTCTCCGCGTCTGTTTTCAGTGCTTCTGGTGGGATTGCATCTGGACCTGCTACTTTCCCAAATTTCAGTAGCTTTATGGAGTTCAGGACTTCCACTTTTGTTGGAGGATTTGTGTTCACTTGTGGTTCTGTGGCTGGACTGCAGGTGGTATTTGTGGATGAAGTGCAGATGGTGGTGGTGGTGGTGGTGGTCGATTCAAGAGCTGCTTGAAGTGGTCGGCCCATCGTTTCCTTTATTTCTCTTCTTTCGTGATTGAATTTCTCTGATCATCTTTTATTGGTTTCATCTGCGTTGACCTCTTCCCTCCCAGATACTAACCTGGTTATTTGATACAATGTTGTCAGGTCTCTCTCTGTCTCCCCTACCTGCAGCCTGTTCTGCTTCAATTGCCAGTGTGTCGTGGAAGTGTCTTCTGTCTTTCCGTACACTCCTCTCCACTTCTCTGTACAGTGTAGTGTCTTATACATTGTACTCAGTTCCTCTTCTCATTAGGCATCCTTGCACTGCATTGGTTTATCTTCTGCTTCTCCGTCCTACTCTCCCCCATCTATCAGCTTCCATGTGTCCATCAACATCCATTCCATTCCTTATCTTCTCTCCTCTTCCTCCCTAATACGACTGTGCAGGTTTCTTTCCACATACCTCTCAAAGACTTCCAGTGTTCTTCCACACAGGTTTCTTCACGGATCTTCCTCCATATCTCACCCTTTTTGTCTTGATGGCTGGCTGTCGTGAAGATTTTCTTTGTAGTTTCGTCCTGCAGTTTCCAAATGTGTTGAACTTGAACTGTGGTCTATCACCAGTTTCCTTGAAGACTTTCAACTTGATTTTGAAGGCAGGTTCCTTGCACCAGATAGTGAGTGGTATGAACCTACATCTGCTCCTCGTCTTTATCTGATCTTGTGTCAAGTAGGCTGCGTCTCCACTTTCTTCACATTGAGATAAAGTCGATCTGATTTTAGTTTGTCCATCTGGTGGCTGGTGAAACCAAATCCATGTCGCTGACTTGTGGATATCCTTGTGCTTGAACACACTGCCCCACTCCAATCACCAAATCGTTGAATGCACAGAATTCTGTAAACAATTCTCCATTCTCCTTCATCACCTCACCGAGCTCTTCTCAACCCATGGTTAGTTCTCTTCCTGTGTACTCCACTCCCAGTTTGGCATTCATGTCACCCCACCCATTAGAATTTCGACATCGCCAACTGAGGTGGTGTCTTGTCCAGTGTTGATTGCAGTTGTCTGTAGAATTCCTCCTTCTTCTCTCTCTTCATCTGCATTATTTGTAGGTGCGTAGCGTGGTATTGTATGATTGTGACCTCCCTTCCTTTTGAGTTGAATCTTGCTGTCATTATTCTGGTCCTGTAGGAGGAGATTGGTTCCCACTTCATCAGAGCCTTCGATTCTCTTCAGGGAACATAACTCAGTGTGCTCGTGGTTGTCGTCTGGGTGACAGTAACGGAGTAGATTATTGACTCTACTCTCCAGTTGACAGTTTGGACAGTCCACTCCCATTCCATCTGCTTTCGCAAATTCCTAACACCTCAATACCTCGATACCTTCTCATCTCGTTTGCAATCTGGGCTGGCGTGCCAGCTAGATTCATACATGGTGTGGACATTCCATGTCCCCACATTTACTTTCACTTTCATCGAGGAGAGAAGATCCATCGGTCCGACCGATTGGCTTCCGAAGGCTTTCACCAACCGGCGTCATTTCGCCTCTCCGATTCCAGTGAGGAATAATTTTGTTTTTATTTTATATATATTGTTTGTGCTTTGAAGTTTGTTTAGCGGTTAGATTTGTTTTACGTGGTAGGGTTGCTAGCCGTATGCCCAACCTTCCCTGTTTATGGGGCATAGGACCGGCTAGTAACTAGTGAACTAGTTAACCAGGCTAGGTTTGTGTGCCATATAACAAATGAATAATTTGATTATGGAAAGAAAAATTACGCAATGTCTACAGGTACTAAAAATAGGGCAATAATCAAAATAATTATAGGTAGAATAAAGTTACATCATGAGCCAACTATATGGTGTGATGACCACGACAAATAAGCAGGTTGTACTTACTTCTTACGAAGGTATAATGATGGTTTAAACTTAGGAATTGTTGATGTTACAGCTATGCTTAGATGTCTGTGTTTAACTCTTTTGGAATGGCTTGGTCGGACTATGTACAGAATTTTGAAGAATTTAAGAAAAGGAGCCAAACTGTCCTGAGTTTGCTAATTGTTTTGTTACAGAGTTGAATATACATTTCTGTTCTCCGCCTGTCATCTACTGGAAAGGAATAAAGTTGAAATACCTTAGCATAGCTGGAGCATTTGCAATCCAAAGTTCAAACCATCACTATGCATTCAAAAGAACAACCTTATTCCCTACCATGGCCATCGTAGACTATCGATCACTCCAGATAATTCCCTTATGACGTAACCTTAGTTTATTGTTCAATTATTTGATCTATTTCCCCATTTAAAACATCTAGGGACACGACGTAACTTTCCATTGTCATGAGATTCATATTAACCTTTGATCGGAAATCATTACGGAATCTTTTATCTTTTCTACTATATGTATATTCACGAATATACTACAACTAAGAGAGCGATTTCGTCGGAAAGAACAAATTTTCCTCGCTATCATAGTATCCTATCCTTTCCTATGATCCTACAAGTTTGTTTCAATATTTCGAAGACAATTTATTGTCCAAAGACAGCTTCAAATCCTTTATACCTTGTTTTCGTAGTTCTCTTTCTTCATCTCCGTATATCTATCCTACAGGTAGTAGAATTTATCAAATACCTATCATTGGGTATTGCGTCATTCCTATTGCATATGTTCTACGTTGATTACATAAAACAAAGCTTCAAGTGATACTGAATGTTTATGACGATGATTTAAGGTGGGATGAACCAGAAAACTTCAGGTTACCGGCTCAGTGTAGACGGACAAAACCTCTTTGACTGAAGTGGAATTAAGATCTATTTATCAGCAGCTGGGTCTAGTAGCTCATTTGGTAAAGCAGCGGGCTGGTCTGTTGGTTCGAATTCAGTCGCGGCCCGGATTTTCATTTCAAGCAGCCCAATTGTTCTGAGAATTTATGAACTCTTAATGATTCCACATATAGTTATTCACTTACTATGTGACTAACTTAATAGCTGTCAGTATATCAGGGTGGCGATGCTTCAGGACAGGTCTGAAACCATCCTCAGGTTAATGATAAGGAGTGAAGTGGGGGAATATGTTGACCACTTCACTTGTTTGGGCAGTTGTGTCAGCTCGAACGGGCTAGTTGCTGACGAGATCTCAGCTCGGATATAGAAGGCGCGTTTGGCATTTGCAAACCTGCATCATCTGTGATGTCGATTGTGAGAGATATCCAACTATCTGTCAGCCCTGTAGTCCCCTCTGTCCTACTATTCGACTGTGAGACATGGTCGTTAAAAGTAGAAGACATGAAGTGGTTACGGGGTTTCGATCGTAGATGTCTTTGTAGTATTGGTCACATTTGGTGAAGTCATTGCGTGAGCAATGTTGAGGTCAGCGAAGGGCATTGGACAAGACAGGCAAGTTGACTGGTATGATTGTGAACCTTAGTCAACTGAGATGGCTTGTACATGTGTAGCGCATGCCGATCCCACGTCTACCTCAACGTACAATGCTAGAAGATGTTAGATTAGATTGGAAAAGGGTTTGGGGTGGCCAGACGAAGATATGGCACCAGTCGATGAAGTCTCTGACTGTAGAACCGAGTCACTTAGAGAGGTGTAGACCACCTGGCTAAGGTCATCGAGAGCATAGCTATCAGTAGTTGAGAGTCTTAGTGACATGGCTGAAAATTGGTCACAGTGGTGCAGATGTATTCACTCTTTGGCGTCTCCTGACACTTGAATATTCGCAATAACCTTTATCTTTGGATTGCTTATCCTCTCACACAACTCCGTCCACTTTCATATCAGATTTTTTATCCACCTGTTCTTTGTGAACTACTGTGAAGTTTGGCAACTTGAGCCGATGTTTCTGTGTACGAGGTTCTACATTGGTTTTACCAGTCAGTCAAGATATTTTCTCGCTATTCAGTTGTTTGATGTTGTTAGTATTTAGGTTCACCACTTTTGGCACAGCTAAAAATATTTGCTAATTTTTGCTGACAAAATCTGTTAGCTTATCATGAACCGGAAACTTATTTCAAGTTGATGTTCATCTGGTTTTGACTCCTGCTGGGGTCGTGGGTGCATACTATTGAGGAGTCCCATAATAAGACGAAACGGCTCTCCAGGGTTCCCATGTTTTCAATGGTTCTTCAGCTGATGTCATTTCAAAATGAAGACCAACTTCGATAAATAATCACAAACCTCCGCTTTGAAAAATTCTGTTTTCAAGACAAACTACTTAAAAACGATTAAGTAGCAAAATTGGTTCACTTAAATAACTTGTACATACTTTTTGTATCTATTCGAGAGTATTCAACAAATGATGTTTTAATATTATTCGAATTTATCACTTAAAAATATCTCCCAGCATTGTTGTTATTCGCATATGAATTCAATCATACGTCTGGCGGATCACTGCCTAATTTTATTGCTAAACGCTTATGACCTTTTCTCCTTTGTCTTTTTAAAAACTATATTAGAACATCATGGGATCCAGAAGTGGTACAAATGAAAATAGTCGATCAAATATCAGATTGTGTTGAGCTGTGTGAATTGCATATGTCCACCGTATATCCACAACCAAAATGTATCCTACAATTACTACGCGGTCTTCAGTATACCTTAGACGATGGCAGTTGTGCTATGTTATGTGAATCTTTAACCAGTTCTGTTTTTCAAAATGTACATACTACTTTTTCCTTATCAGCGACATCATCAACTGGGCAGTGAATCAGTGTACAAATACACTTGGTCATGTCTATGAAGATCATGTTTATATTCGTCCTGCCAGTGATGGTCAAGGCTGTCGCGTATATTTACTATCTCGTGTAGATTTAAAGTAGGTTTTTCAACCTTTACTAATTAAACAAAATAGTTAATTTCTTCTTATATTGTCAATATTTGCAGAAATGTGATTGGTTCAAGGACGTATATATATATATATATATATATATATATATATATATAGTCAGTCAAGCTGGTTTTAACCCACACCTTTCGAATGAGCCATCTACGACTTAGACATCACTTAAAAATCTTACTCTATAAAGCTCATCGGTGTAAGCCAACTACATTTCCATCTTATGGAATGACAGACAGATAGACAAAGTCAGTGTATTACTTTGCACACAAGTGCATCGGTTCAGGTCGCCACACTTCACTGTAGCATACAGAGAACAAATGGATTGAAAAAGACTGATATCAGAGTAGACAAAAGTGTATGGGAGGAGAAGGAATTTAAAAATGAAGGTTAGTCACATTATTCAAGCTTCAGAAAACGTCAAAGAGCGGATATATTTGTACCTCACTCAACGATCCCTGTCATCTCAACTACCCCATTTAGGTAGTCTACACCTCCTTAAATGGCTCTTGCTAACAGTCACAGAATTCACGTCTCGGTCTGGTCAGCCTGAACCTTCTTCTAACCTAAAACAACTTCTCTTGGGATAGCACGATCTCTGAAGGTTCACAAGCTCATCGGCTGAATTGACTGCCCTGCCTGACCTACAGATTGCTCACAGGATGATCTCATTATACGCTGAGTTGTAAACCTTGGTTGTAGCGAAATTGAAACCTTAAAGTCAATGGCTTGAATCTCACTATAGTGCAGGTTTTCGATTTGACTTCAACCAACAACCTGGATCTTCCCCATTTCTTCATATATTGATCAATCTGACAGATAGGGTTATAAATGTTTGAAGAGTTGACATTTTTATTGGATGAAAATTTAGCCCTGACAGAGTAGATTAATAAGAACTCTTGTGAAAACGATGCTAATTGTTGACACAGGTTTGAATTCCTAAGGACAGTTGGTGACAGGTTGTATCAACTCTCCAGCTTCCATTACTTCTATCTGTTAAACATTACAGCACATAGAAGGTGATGATATAGTCGGCGTTGCTGATAAGAATGGATATAAGTAGTGTACGTTGAGAAGGCGGCAGAAATCATAGGGAATTACCAGCAGTGGGTAAGGATTCTAAGACTGACTCTTTATCAGTGAAACTAATAGATACACGACCCCCCGATCATTTATCCACATTCTAGCATACATAGCACCTCTATATATGGCACCTACGACACCTAGTCAAGTCGCAAAAACAGAACTCATATTATATCATTCAAAACGCTTTCTTTTTCGCCTCTCCAGATAGTTTCTTCGCCAGTGTTCCAGTTTTCTGCATGTAAAGCATTTACTCTATCTGTCAATATTCAGTTGAAGTGCAGCCACCTCCTCATGAAGGTTGTCGATTTGTTTTTTCGAGTTACTTACCTTTGGTGACTCCACCTCAGCTACTGCTGTATCCGTTGGCTGTCTGGTGACCTTGGCCAACTCACTAATATCCATGGTTTGAACTCCGTTGACTAGTCGTAGCTGTTGGGTAGTGGCATTCGGGACACTTTCGGTTAACTTTGCAGCCAGTAATCGCTCCTGGGAGTCTTCTTCCAAAGTGGAAAGTGCTTGTGAAATTTAGTTAGATTTCGATTGGAATGAAAAGTCCTGACTGGGCAGCCACCGCGAGTATGAGCAAACGATGGTAACGCGTCACGAATTCACATGGTCATCAAGTAAAACCTTGCCCAGCAGTCGGACCTCGTAGCTTAGTTGGTTGAGTACCGAGCTGGTAACCTGATGTCCGCTGGTTCGAGTCCCGCCATGCTCCGGATTTCCACTTCACTTTCAACCATCACTTAGTATCAATTCTAGTCTGTCAAACTATGTCTATCTCAGATGGCCAAAAATGACAATCCTTATTGGATTGAAGTTATCGACTTCTGTTGGCTTATAGGCTTCTGTGCGGATGCTTCGATACAGCCTAAATATTCACTTGTTGGTGGCCATCTAGAAGGGGAAACTAGACCGTACGTTTCGACCTATTTTGAAGTCGTTAGCTGAATATGTCTGTCTCAAAGTGATTGATTTTATTTCCACGTAGTATAACAACGAGAGATTATAACATAGTAGCTAACCCTTTAGATTATAGTTCCTATCTCAATTGCCGAAAGGAATGTAATTTGCCCAAGTAACTTTAAAAATTGAACATTGAAACATTAAGTATGACTGTGAAGGTTAAAACTTGCCTATCATTGCATTCTAAAAAGTTTTTTTTCAACTTTTCATGGTCTGTCGTATATATTTATGTCGTTGACTAAAAATAGTGAAGTACTTATTATAATCCATGTGGTGTTGAATAAGAATCCGAATAGTGCTAGTTTCAGTGATAAACTCTTGCCTCCTTGATAAATAACGACAGGGTACGCAGAATATCTCATATGATTTTCGTTTCAAATCCGGCGTCTACTTTTATAAATTGTACATCGACTGACATAAAAATTTCTTAAAAATAGCATGTAGAAAAATGTTTATCTTGAGGATACAAACATTTTATCGATGTCTGCAACTACTAACAATTTTGCAAGTAGTAAAACAAATTATGTTAAAATAGGAGGAGTTAGAACGATGCTTGATTCCTGTGTGGATAATGTGAGAGAAAAATAAATGTTATCCGTGTAATCTAGGAAAAATAATGGATTAAATTAAACATAATCTTTATTTCATTTGTTTTACGTTCATTTTTGTTTTCAGGGGATATGGGCCTGATTGGTACATGAATCAATGGGGTCATACATTATGTCGACGACTAATAAATTTGAAACGATCTTTCCAAAAGCAGAAAACACCAGTTTTAGTCTATGAATTGGAAGAGACAATACCCAGACCTTCTCCACCTCCGTATACTAGTGTTACTATTACTTCAAGTAGTGACACTGATCATCAAACTGTTCCAACAACGTCTAATGTTTCATCTAGAACAATCGCAATTAGCAGATTTTAAGAAGAAAATTTCTACTACTGCCTGTCTTCCATATATTCAGTTCATGTCAACGAAAACAAGGGAATGACTCCTTTTGTATATACAGTTCTATACATGTAACATTCACAGATAATTCCTTTCTGTATATCAGTTGTTTTCTCATGTTTTGAAATCAATATCAGAAGATGAAACTCGGCTTCCATTATGATTGTTTATGTATACTTATATATTACTTATATGATGGGATGTATAAGTACGTGTGTGTCTGCCTAATCAGGTGATGATTTCTTGTTTCGTTCCTACAAGTATACTCTACTCTAGATAATTTGTGGAACCACAAACACATACATATACAAGAAACGTATTCTTTTTTAGTGACATTTCAGTTCCTCCCTTGTTTCTACTGTTCCACTCAGTAACCCTTTTCTACCTATTATAATGTACAACTGTACTGATCAGATATTTTGATGAGGATCTCTCAAAAGGGCCATATACTCATTACCTGCCTATCTATTTTTACCAGAGTTTTGTTATCAGAGTCGATAAACTGATTTAATTATGTATTAAAGACAAGATTAACTTTTTCCCCTTATTGTGGTCACCACGACTTTCATCTTGTGTGTGTGTGTGTGTATGTATGTATAGTATGTATGTATGTATGTTTGTATGTGTTTGTAGACTGTGGCTATACTTCATGAGGACTGTTCACTTCTGCGTGCTTAAACATGGATATAGATGAGTCAGTGTGCTGTTTTTTACAGCAAATCTTTGTATATATATATGCCCTCTGTATCTTATACACATCATGGAGTCTCCTGATTTTACTCAATACACGTCTTATCACATCAAGTAGGCATGTTTTCATGAGGTTAATTGATTTTATAACTCATCATATACTTATCCATCCTACCACCCTCTCAAGTTTATTTTTATTATTCTACCAAATAACGTCTGCTTACCTAGATTACAGCTGCATCGATTACGTAATACATTCGTATCCTCTTCGCGTTGTTCTATATTTATGTGTGCGTTTTAGGTCGGAACCAGGCCATTTCTTCACTCTCAAACTCTCTCCAGACACATATATTCATTTACAGCTTATCTTGCATATTTTGACTAACATTTACCTTACACAGAAAAACACATACACGAACTTTATACGCAGCAAACTAAATCCAAATCTCACGTCTTTCGATAACTTTTGCTTTTTCTTCCAATTCCATTACTTATCATTCTGTTCAGTGTTTCTTTTATAATTTAAACAAGGCCATTGTTCTCTCGATCAATTCAATAAACAATAATCTTTTGTTTTATTTGATGATAATGTTATTTTACTGAATAAAATGTCAGAAATAGTAAGCGAAAGAGAAAAAACTATGTATGTACATACACTTGACTTGTTTATTATTGTTAACATCAGTTAGATGAATATTACTGCAGTGAAACTTTAGCAGCAAGGTGAATATGAGTTGCAGTGGAGTTTCCCGAATCCTTAAAGAGAAAAGTGTGAAATTAGGGGTTGTACTTGTAATCTTTAATTTAAAAACCCTCTCATCACTACGAATTTGCATCACTTCCCAATTTATTTAAATTTAATAAATAAAATTGAACTACTTATGAGTAGGCATATTGTAATGCCTACAACTATTTCGTGAATCAAATATGCATGGTGGTTAACTTGCATACGCCGTTATAAAGATGAAGAGCATAGCATTATGCGTTAATTATAGTGCAGCATGGATTTTGAATAACTCAAGGTTTCAATTATCTCTCTCGACAGTGTATTCATATGGTGAGCTTTCACTATAAGCTCAAGTTCTTGGTCTTGCAAAGCAGATGAAAGTGAAAATTCATCGGCTGCAAAAAGCTTATCAAAAGGGTCACAATACTTATTGTTGATATCAGTAAGGATAAACTGGTCTAATCTCAAACAACCCTTTCATGCACGATACCCCAGTAGTACTTGAAGATATTTTTGAAATTTTTCTCAAAATATTTAAAGCTCTTGTAGGGGCTACATACTTGCATACATTTCTCTAGTTAAAAATGTTTCGAATGTGAGAAACACTTCTCTGGAAGAATATTGATTAGTTGCAAATGTAGCTGGGTAAGGAGAACCAAACTATTGGCACTGATCCTCAAATGTTCCGGTATCATCAGATTGCTTAGATCCTCATGAAAAGCCCTAAATCCCTAAAGTTTTTCAAAGCTAATCTTTTTGCCGCGAAGTTTCCAGAAAGTCATATAAACATACATGTAAACATCAGATTAGTTGAAGAGATAAATTTGATGGGATATGGCCCACTCTAAAGGCATAGAAACAGTCGAGGCCATTGTGAGTGTATTTGAACCGTTGCGTTTCTATCTTTTATCTTACCACCTTTTCTACTTTATGAGGAAATGACCAAGGGTTACTTTTCAATCGACCACTCTGATACTGGTTAGTAAAAAAACACATTTCTAGTGGAAATATGAATTAAAACAAGTAATAAAATGTGAAAAATGGAACTTCAACCCGTAAGTGGATAGCCAACACGTTTACCGTGAAACCTGGAGGTCACGAATTTGTTCCCTGACGAGATCATGGGTGCCTACTGCTAAGGTGTCCTATACTAGGACGAAACAGCTGTCTAATGCTTCCCCATTTTCAATGACTCTCTAAATGATGTCAACCCATGATGAATACCAACTTGAAATCAATAAATAAGTCCTCGTAAACCTCGAAATCGAACTCCTTCTTTGAGATAATTTTTCAGTTGTTTAATCTTTGAAGTAGCTTAGTGAATAGGATTTATTTCTTACACTTATCTTACGGAAGTGGTTTTTTGCAATTGAAGGTCTTCGGTGGTCGACTGACTTCAGAATACTTTTCACCTTAGGTTAACATCAGTGTTCATTAATCATTTACTTTTAAAAAGATTTTCCATAGTTCTTATGAAAATTTGAAACCTGTGGGGTTGACTTTGTTGAGATTGAAAGCAGACGCGATATTAGATGAAGTTCGGACAATATATGACAAATCCTGCTAAGGTATTTTCTAATTTCAGCTTAGTATTCATCACTAACTTATATCGGTTGGAGGAATATTGGAGACCTGGAGACCAATCACCAGTGCGTATGCATGACCTTGCCTTCAAGGGGTCGAACCAACGATCTTAAGGTTCCGCGCCCAGTACGTTACCATTCAGCAACTGGACAGGAATCCAATCGTTCACATTTCCAACTTCTGTCAGTTCACGATAAAGCGCGACCTCCATCCAACGTCGTCGTTGAGTAACTGTCCTCATGTTCGAGTTGATTGGTTTCACCGGTCATGACTTCTCGATGTGACTTCAGGAATCACCTATCGAAGCTAGTCAAGTCACCAATGAGCACTAGATTAATTCAATTTCGAGTTTTGTAGGGATTTATTGGTTCTAAGTTGGTATTCATAATGGATTGAGATCAGTTGGAAGAATATTGGAAACCTGGGAGCAATGAACAGCGCCTTTTTCGTCCTAGTATGGGACTCCTCAGTAGTGCACATCCTTGATTTTACTTCATTCTAAGATTTTATATTGCACAAATTAAAAATCGTCTACAGCCAAAAAGATAAAAATAGACACATGCGGTCGGAAACAGACCAATCAGAACAAAAGAAACGAATGAACAGTACTTCGAATTGTCAGTACTATCAGAAGCACTCAGACCATGAAGACAATCACAACCTGATTAGACAACATTTATGAGTCCATTATTCACTGAAGTATTTTCTCCCAATAAAAATTCCAGGCTCAGTGATATTATATCTCAGCTGTTCCTTGTCTTTTAATTGCTTCCTGAATTATATTCCTTGATGTTATCAGCTTTTTTGGAATGTTTACTATTTCACTGTTTAGTTGAGAGGCTGTTTTCATTATGAAAATGAGTGTTATGAAGTCATTTTTTTCTTTTTGCTGACGAGTCCTCAGAAGGACGAAACTTGACAACTACTTCTTACTGTTTAATACCAAATACAGTAGATTGTAATTTCAATTATACGGTGAAATTTCACTATTTCAAACTTGATCTGTAAGCAACATTCAGTCAACAACGTTAGTAACCAGTCTTCAATGATCAATTATTAGGCTTAATTATCAACAAATTACTTTTAAAACTGTTTCTAATCCATCATTTATTGTCAATTTTAATTAATAATGGTTTCTTTTAATTCTAAAAAGGGATTTATGTGATATTCATTCTGTTGAACTGTGTGTGTGTGTGTGTGAGAGAGAGAGAGAGAGAGAGGGAGGAAAAGATGCAACCAAATGCAGGATCAATCATATATAATCCTTTATTTTAACGGGTTGAAATAATTTCTGTTAATTAGCCTGAGGTCACGTGTTTCTTTCGTTCTCTTTTCTCCTCCCCTATCCCGATTACCTACACACTATCTCCAAAAATGTAAATGAAATGGCCCCCCCTCCTCAGAAACTTAACGACTATGTTGCTGAGGTGTTCAAGAAAAACTGATGATGAAACCGAATTTTTCCCAAAAATGTAACGAGGCAGTAATAGTGGTAGTAATAGTCATTGATACCGGTAATATTTTAGTATCTATGACATAATGAGACATCATTACAACGAGGTGTGAAGCTTAGACGATTCAGTCACGGAGTGCTATAGCATAACGTTGCGCATTGAATTCTCCCCTCCCCTCGTCATATTGGACTGCAGGAAGATCCAATGCTTTTGCAATTTCCTGTTTTGTTTGAATTATTTGTCAAGCTAAGACGTTATTAATCTCTAGGCTAATAATAATTGATTTAAGGTTGGAATTCACCATAGACTAGCATCATTTGGAGGAACATTGGAAACCTGGGAGCACTGAACAGCTATGTCGTCTTTGTATGGCACTCCTCAGCAGTACACACCCATGACCCCGCCCCACCAGGGACCGAACACACGACCTTCAGGTTCGGTAGCCAGTCCATGGTAAATTCTAACCTAAAATCAATTGATACATCCCCACAAACCTCCAGACAGAATTACTCTGGCGCTAA